GGCTGGAGTGCGGGAAGCCTCCCGGCGCCTCCGTGCTCTCCCCGGCTGGCCCAGGCACGTCATCCCAGGAAAGCCACAGTGCTCTCCCGCACATGGAAACCTGCCAGGCAGGAGCGGTGATGCAGAGACAGAGCCTGTGAGATCTTCTGGGGCAGAGCCCTTGGGAAGCGCCATGGCTGCATGGATCTGTGCTCCCCTTGAGGACCGTCTCCAGAGATGCCCTGCTCCTGCAGGTTAACACTTGCAAATTTTTCACACGTCAGAGCTTCTGGCTGTTTGCAAGAGCAAACCTTTCTGAAACTACCTTGGGGTTGGTTTATCCTTCCCTCTGAGTATATGTTATGCTGCCATGTGCATTTTGAAAAGCTGTTGCACATGTTTCCAGAGACCGCTTTTCCCCCTAAACCACTTTTTTTTTTTTTTTTTTTTTTTTTTTTCCTTCCCTCTGGTCAAAGCTGCTACTTCTGGACAGATGGTCTTGAATGTGAGTGGTGAAAACGTACCTGAGTGGTGGCCCTGTCACATAGGAGGAGATGAATTCACTGCTGGCATTTCAAGGAAAACTAACTAAATAAATAAAACATGTGAAAGGGCTGTCTGTGTTCCTCCCCACAGCCTCACCAAGGGCTGCTGGAGCAGTGAGCCAAGGGGAGGCACATGCTGGGGATTTTGTGCCTCTGCAAAGAGGAATCATCCTGCTCCCTGGATTGCTGTGGGACTGGCCAAGGTGTCAGCGGGAGCCCGGGGCCTGACAGGAGCTAGACTGGGAGAGCGTCCAGGAAAGCAAGAGCCCAAGAAGCTGCAGTGGGGCCAGGAAATGGGCACGTGTGGGTGCATCGGGGTGGCAGGGCCACTGAGGCTGCTGGCGCTGGCATGAGACAGGGCCACATCTCTGCATCGAGCGCTGCCCTTGCTCCCCTTCAGCATGACTCTGTGGAGAGCGCTCGTGAAGTAGCAGGTGCAGATTGTCTCTGTGTGTAGTACGAAGGGGTTATCACTGTAAACAGAGTTATTTCTACCGGAAGGAATGGTAAATGTTTGATTACAGATTCATCCCTTGCCTGAGTCAGAGCAGGCTTTCTTTCTTATTTATTTGTTTTTAATCATTTTACTTTGTTGCCTCTTGAAATGGTGGCCTGCAGTTTTACATAATAACCTCACTAATAACCCACTTTCCCAATGTCTATATGAACAAGATAATAAGGCTCACCTTTCTCACCAAACAGGGATTTTGCTCGCACAGAAGGTGGAAAGCAGCTTTTATCTGGCAGTTATTGCTTTTTAGCTGGTATCTCATTATCTGACATAAACAGATCCATGCGCTTCACTCAGTCTTAAATGTTTTCCAGATAGAAGTTTACGGCTGCCAAAGCACCATGTCAACAGGTAATTGGTGTTTTCCGGGTGGCAAAGGCTACGGGGGGCTTGATGAGGTCAGCTGTGAGGTAGAGATGGTGCCAGGTTTTATTCTTCTTCACCAGTCACAGTTCCACAGCTAAAAGCAGAAACCTGTCAGGTCAGTCCGTCCTTACCTCCAGGTCACCAGGAGCTGTTCTTCTAAGCGTGGAACATTCTCGGTATTTTAGTACAGTACAAAACGAATTCAAAATCCTGCCATTTTAATGTCACATCACTTTATATTCAGTTCAGGCCATTTCCATAAGCATAGTTAATCATTTGGAGCTCAGGAATGGAGAAACAATTCCTCCATTGCTTTTTTTTTTTCTGATTCCAAAATTTCAGAATGTAAACAGAGACTTTGTGGGCCACCTATTTCTTAACAGAGGCAGAGAAGGGAATGATGGGCAGCGAAGATTTATGCAAATGGGATTCTATTCAAAAAAACTGGTAATAAAAGAGCAAAGGCTAAGTTATATTATTAATTTGGACCAAGAAATGCATATAGCATCAAACCACCAGAACAATGATGGGTAGGAACCAGGTGGACTTTATTAGAGAGTGAGGAAGGGAATGTTTCTTCTTTCTAATCGCTGCCAAGAAACATGCTTGTTTCAGCTTTTGCATGAAATGATAGATGGGGGCTTTGAAGCCAGAATCTCTTTGGCTTTATTGCTCCTCCCTTTGGGACATGGGTGCTGTGAGTAGTCATTACTCACGTTGGAAACATTTGCCACAGGAAGCTCCTGGAACAGAGTTTGGAAAGCCATGAAAGCGCTAATGGCATCTGAAAACATCAGTGCTGTCCCAGCACTTGCTGAATCAAATTATAAAGTGCCAGGACAAATTAATGTTTGCCTCTGAGTCATTCCCATTTTTACAGAGTCCAGAGTTTTCAAAACTTACCAGGAAAATCCTCTCTCCACGAAAAAGAAACACCATTTCAATGGTAGCAGTTTGCAAAATCTGGAACTGTGTTTAGAGAAGACCTGCTTCACTCTCCAGTAAATTCCTTTCCATCAATCCTTGCCCAGTGAAATGACTGGAATATCTGCACTTGCATTTTTTTCTAATCACTATTTTCAGCAGTCATAAAGCATAAGCTAACGATCCTCTTCTGCAAGACTATTGTGAGCTAATTAATATTTATAGGCTGAAGCCAGGCTCAAAAGCTAATCTAGGATCAGTGTTTTAATGATCCTGAACATCTGGCTTGAGAATTTAAGATCTCACTGAAAATGAATGAAGATTCCTGATGTTCAAAAAAGAATAACAAAAAGTGGGGTGGGGTGAGAAATATGACAAAAGCATAAAGCAGTAAAGCAGGGAGATGCAGCTCTATCTTCCGAGCTGGTGGGCAGAAACAGAGCAAACTGTGTCCTGCCTCCGTTCCAGGATTGTGCCTGGGATAACAGGCAGTGCAGCAACCAGTGGGTTTCGCACACAAGGGGAGAAGCGGAGCTGGCAGCAGCCGAGCGCCGGCTCCTGCTTGCGCCGCCCTGTCCCTGTCTGTGCACGCGGTGGCCATCGGGCTGGAAGAGGTGGCTGCCTTCCCTGTGCCCCTGTTCAGTGGGAATTAACAGGTCCGCGCTGACCACCCCGCTGGCGCCTGTGCCCTGGGCAGACGTGCTCAGGCTGAGCATTTCTGACACCTTCCCCTGACATCCCTGGCCAGCGTCTGCTGCTCCTCGATGTGACTTGCCCCAGTGTCTCCCGTGGAAAGGACTGGGATGTAAAGCAGACAGCGCTTCCTCCCCAGTGTTCAGCTAGCATACATTAGTCATCTGTTCCCGCATCTGCAAGGGCTTGAATAGCCTTCAAACCTCTAATATCCCTTCTGTGGCTCATCTTAAATGCAAAGCAAGTCAGAGAGACAGCCAGAGCCCCTTTGCAGATCCCTGCTGCTTGAGCCTTTTTCTCCTTCCCTGGGGTCAAAAAGAGGGTTTTCTGTGACTTCCTGAGGATTAGCACAAGGTTTTATTTCTCCCAACATGCGTAGAGTCCCCAGGCAGGGGAGCAAGGAGGCGTCCGCGCTGGTCATGCTCTGCCGCGGAGCCTTCTGCTGCGCTCAGGGCTTTTTACACTGCCAAATAACTCAGCGCCTTGTTTTGCTCATGGCTTTTGGCCTCCTGGTTGGTCACATCTTGTTTTTTTCACAGGGTATGTTTTGAAGTGAACTGTTTTTTCCTCCCAAAATGAAGCCTAGGTGAGATTTGTGGATCCTTATCTTCAGAGATTCCCTTCTGGATGGATCGGTGCTCTCCCAGCACACCAGGGCCCTGGTGCTCCCTCATCCCTATGATCCTACTCTGGGACACTCATCTATGTTCTGAAGAAAAGAAAAACACTGTAGCTGCAGCACAAACCTCACATTTCCTCAGACACACTGAACAGAAAAACAAAAAACACAGCAAATAATAAAAGAAGAAGGAGAGTAATTTAGGAGCCCCATCCAAATGCAATGCAGAGTGCTCACCCTTGATAGCATGAGTTTGTGTCAGTCCATCCCATTGCAGGGCTGGAAATCATCCCTGGGGGTTGATGCTATTGTAACCTGTAGGTAAGTGTTTGGCACAGGCTAGCGAGCTACTTGCTCTCGGGAGGCTGGTGGGGTGTGCAAGGCTATGGGCAAGCAATTGCAGAACGGTAGTCTGCAGTTGTGGCATTCTGGAGGATATTAGTGGGTGGTTCAAAAAATATTATAAGGATATTATTATACCTATATAATTTGATTATTTTAGTATAAAATAAGCCCTCGGTAATTTATATTTACTTGGCAGCAAGGAAATAAAAGTTGGTTTGGCAATTGCATTTAACAAAACACTGGAAACTCAAGGGAAAAAAGTATCGCCTGTCCAAGTTGAACTAATGCTGAGAAACTGAGCTCTGTGAATCTGAATTCAACTCATTTTTTCAGAGCTGCTTACCCTGTCTCCTTCCACTGCTGGCCAACTGACAGAAATTCAATATTTTTCTTTTACTGAATGAAAAGCATAGTCAGAAACAGCAATTGGGTCAGAATCATATGCAAAAGCTCCTCTTGTGCTTTTGTTTCCTAATTGCTCTTGGAAGAATTTTTGGACTGGGCTGACGCAGTTGTGTGTGTGAATTTCCTGGCAAATAAGGAAGGTGATTGTATCCAAAAGACATTTTAGAGTGTGAATTCACAGCTTTTCCATGTCTAATCAAGGAACGTAAACCATTAGCCACATGTTCTCCATTTCCATCACATTTTTTCACACTTACTTAAAAACATGCCAAAGAAAAGGTGCTACATTTTTAATGCCTCCAAATAGGAACCACGGGAGTCCTTTAAATGCTGTGGCCATTTCCAGCATACAAATCAATTTTCCTTCTGGTGGTGAAATGGTGAATAATGCCTGGTTTGTTTAAATAAGCATGACTGATTTTGGATGAAGGATCCTGTCAGTTTGGCATTTTTCGTTTTATTTATTGCACACAACCGTATAAAACCTGGTACTGGTCTCAGTGCCAGGCTTACTAGTGGAAAAGCTGAAAGGACCACATAGCTCCTGGTGCAGCAGAGAGGTTCTCCTTCTGCAAGACATTTGCTGGACTCCTGAGAAATCATTTTGAATAGCATGGCAGAGAAGGATTTCATCAGTTGGCATCTGCTGACTTATTTTTTTCTTCCATTTTGCCTGTGTCAAGACAAATACATGGAGGTGAGCAGAAGATCTTATAAACCAGTAGCCAAAGTATTGCAAAGTCATCACCAGACTGCCCATAAAGGTTCCAGAAGCAGGGAAATATTGAAACAGCGGAGTCAACTTATAGACCCATCAATAAGGGCCATTTTGCCGTCCACCACATTGGTGTCAACTAGCTGATGGCCTGAGTGGCTTGGGGGTGGTCGCCGTGCCGTCCCTGAACCAGGTCGCTGCAGCCGTTTGAACTGCAACAATTAAGATTTTATATTCAATTAATTCATTTGGTTGTGAAGGAAGTTATGGAATTTGCAGAGATATTTGAAAGGATTCAAATAGCAAAGAATAAACTTACTTGAAAATTATATGTAGAAAATATATTCTTTTGAGTTTGAGAAAGACAATGAATTTGTCAGTATTTGCAATTGTTATTCTAAGGAATAGCTTGAAAAAATAGGCACTAATGTTGCATTTGAGAGCCAAGTAGATTTAATAATGATATATATCAAATTGACTTTCAGTTTCAGTAGAAAAACATGTGGAATGAAATGTTTTTTAAATCTGCTATAGTGCCTACTTTTTAAATTGGAGGTCTTTTTATGCCGTTCACATGGCAATTTATATATTATAGTCATTAGCTGACAGCAAAGGGGAAATTGCATGATTTTTGTATAAAATACCACAATCATAATTTAGAGGTGAATCTTTTAAGAACAGAAGATAGACCTTTTTCTAATTTTAGGCAAAACAAAATTCTATTCAAGTAAAGTTTTTGTTGATTGGTATATTTTTTAAAAGCAGCAATGTGAGTGTTTCATTCCTATTTCTGATATAAATGATGAGGCTCTCTCAAGTTTGTCTTTTATCATTTGCATTTTACAACTTCTTTAGAGCTAATCATGATATTCCAAATTATGAATCAGGGACATGCAGATGAACACTGAATAATCACCCACTTTATGATAAACATTTTATTTTAGTACTATGCTAGGCTAAAGCAACTGAAACACTTCCCAGTATAAGAACAGGTTTAATCCACCACTACATTCCCTGTAATCAAATTTTAAAGTGAATTACATTTCAGATTTCTTGTGCAGGAGTTACATATAGATACAAACAGTGTGAATATATATGTATAAACATATAGCCTGGTGAGCCAGCTAGTGTATGTTTGTGTGTGTGCTCCTCTTTATTGCACAGAGACTTGTGCAGCTGCATCCGTGAAAATTAAAGTTAAAAAAGTTTTAAAAGACTTTAACATAATTTCAGATAACGCAGGATTTAATATAAAATGTTGATTTTGTTAAGGGTCAAATTGCCCTTCAAAATGTCACTGCAGTCTCTGGGGAGCCTGGGTCTTTCATCAGACAATTCAGTGTTTGGAGCTGCCTGGTGGGCAAGGAGCTGTGACACTAACACTGAGTCCTGCCAGCCCAAGTGCAGCTGATAGCAGGTCATTTGCTTGGCAGTCTCGTCCCTAGGAAGCAAACTTTGCTGGGGAAATTATGCCATTTTTGGCTTACTTAAATGAAATGGAGCATTAGCAGATGCACAACAGGGATAATCCATCACAGAGTGGCTGATGCAATAGGTATTTTCCATCCCGAAACTCCCTGGGTTTCCAGGCAGACGGGGAGCAAAGGTGGCAAGGACATGTTTTTACTTATATCAAACCTCTCCCTTCTCCCTCAGCTATCTGAAAGGTGTTTGGCAAATGCAACAGCTGTAAACACCCAGACTGTGTATGGAAAAGTTTAATTCCTAATATCCCTAGCTTCTTGATTATCTTAGCTCTGGCTGGAGAATTTTGCCCTTTTGCTGAAGTGTTTTAAACATCACATTCACTATTGTGCCAAAGCCACAAGAGCATTTTTCTTTGCTGCACTGGGTAAAAGACCAGTTTCCATCCTGCTGGTAACTTCTGAAAAATATAATGGACATTTCTCAAGAACAAGAACTCGCAGCAAAAGGAGGAAAGCCAGACGTGCTCCTCTTTCTTATGTTCTTACACCCTCCAAGTACCCCTCAGCCTATTGGCCTTTTGCCCTGCATTTTGGTGGTTTGTTTATTCCTTTGCAAGAGAAGGGTCATAGAGACCACAGAGACATCTTGATTTTCTTGCAGCACAGGAGCCAAGGGCAGTGGATGCACAGTGCTCTCTTTTCTATATTGTGTTAGGCAGTTTAAACAGAAACCCAGAAAATTAACCAGGAAGTGGAAAGAGGTCTGGTTCTCCAATTCTGATTGCATCACAAGTTTAAATTAAAGGAATTTTATAGGCCATCTGCTCCCTAGAACTGCCTCCTACCTGCTAAATCAAAGGAAGTTCAGCAAATATCCACGGTGCCCTCATTTCTAGGCTTTTATCTGAATTAGGATGTGGCAGATGCATTTCACAAGCTTCTAAATCATATTCCTGTTCTGGAGAGCATTGCGAAAGATTCATTGCGCAATAAAATTTGTGCTGATTGCTGCATAGGATCCCTTTGGCAAGTAGGCTGCAATTAATTTTTAT